TAATGATCGTTACTAGGGTTGTTAATGGAGTGCTCTAGTTAATAATAAAACATATAACCCACTCCGGAGTACTCCAAAAACGGGTTATATGTTCTATTATAGTCTGGAGTACTCCATTAACAACCCTAATCGTTATTACTGTACTAACCAATCCAGTTTGTAAATTTTGTGTTGCAAGCAGATTGACTAACACCTTAGCCAAGTTATCGTCTCGGTCGACTAAGAGTGTCCTCCCAATGTAATTAGCTATTGATCGAAGTGTTGCTCGAATAATCGTGATTAATTTGGTGGTTAATGCGGTCAATCGAAGAACAACTTGTTAAGATTCATGCGAAATGCGGATTCTAAATTTTAGCCAGAGTAACTCTATGACAAAATCATCGAAATGATAACTCACTTGTTTAGCTCAATTTCTGACTAATTAAATTGTTGCCTCCGATCTGTTGAGTAAAGTGCTTGAAAACACCCTCCATTTTCATTCATGCCAACCCTATCTTAAAGAATAGAAACATACGCTTTGGAAAAAATGGCTACTTATTTAGTCTAGGATACCTTTTGATTTAGGTGATATCCGTATTAATAATAACATTTTGTCATAAAATAATTGATGTATTAGGGCGTCTGGAATTCTACTGTGTTTATCCGTTTTTTTTTCTGCGCACCACTGTATGATTTATGCAGCTGAATTAGTAAACGCTATTGATGTTATTTGGCGCTTAACGTTAAGACAATGATCGATGTTATTTTGAGCCAACAATAAGCTGTGCCTCCGTTTCCGAGAATCCCACAATTACAAAATTCAAAACTTCTTTCTGCATAATAGAAGGTTTCTTTTAAGAAATTTAGCATTTCTATAAACACTAACATGATGTAATTTTGCTGTGAATTTTCCTAGGCAAGCCTTTTTGGACTGCTTACAACCGTCTCCACTATAGTCACCCGCATTTTCTATAGTCACGTTAATTTCTGCGTATTCATCAGACTCGGGTCTTTGCGGATTGCAATTTTAAATTTACAGTATATTCTAATTCCAAATAAATTATATAATTAGTCTAATGGAAAGGTTTAAAGACGATGCGAAAATAATACTTAAAATATAATAACTAATAAAAGCATTCAAATAATGATATTATAAATGCCAACGCAAAAATACGTTCTTAAATACATCTATCCATCGTCTCTCACTTTTTATTTACTCTTGCGTCAGGATCGACCGATAATTTTCTCGTGATTCTAATGATCTGGTTAAAACCAAAATACGGTTAGTGCAAATTACAAAATTGTTAAACGTTACGAATATTTCTATTTATTGATTTTCCTATCTCAATTTATCATAGTAAGTATAACACGTTTATTTTTAATTAGTAATGATAAAGAATATTGGGTAAGCATTGGTTATGACGTAATGTTTACCCAATATTCTTTATCGGGTATAAATAAGTCCAATTTTTACACGTTTGAGTAAGATAATGTCAACGACAAAATATCGCGGAGCACAAGAAATTCGAAAA